GTTAAACCTGGTGGTGGTTCTAGATGAAATAAAAGGGGTCACAAGCATTACTATAATTCACACAGAAGGGGAGCTGAACATGAGTGTCAAAGTCCATGGTAGTCTTCCCAGCAGGTATTGGTACATTTCCATGTAGGCCTGAGGTACAGCTCTGCCATCACAAGAGTCATGATGGATATAGAATCTGTAATGTAAACTGTTTCCAATTTAAATGGAGCTTTTTGGATTCTTCAGTACCAAATGGATTTGCTTTAACTCTCTCATGTCTGCCAGAACAAAGTAATTTCCAATAAAGAGGAGAGTTTATAATCACAGACTGTGTAGGTGTGCATACACACTCACCTCTGAACACCTGCTCTGATCCACCATGACTCTTACCGTGTCCCTGTGTATTGAACTAAAGATTAAAGTCATAACATCAACCAGCATCAGTGGACATGCTTCGTTGGCGACGTGTCCACTCTGCACCGGGGATTATGTAACTGAAATATTGTGCAAAATATCAACGCGCGTAATAACATTTTGAGTCCTCATTTGAACCTTGTAAACCACCTGATCTAGCATCACAGAGTTCACCAGTATAAATTTACTCATAAAAATGTCAGCGTTAGAAACCAGTAACACATGTCCACTCTTAGCAAAGAGTGTAGGCTTCCAGAATCTTACAGTATTGATTCTAAAATACTTTTACTTTGATACAAAATCTTATAGTCTTGGGTCATCTTATATCTTATAGTTTGACGACCCCTGCCAAATCATAAGCTACTAAATACTTTAGCTTTTGCAGTTCATGCTCTCAAACTCCAGAACAGCCTACCTCAAAATCTTAAGGAAGCAAACTCTGACAGTAATTTCAAGATACCCCTTTTTTATTCTGACATTTAAATACCATTTTAACTTAATAATACTACTGTACTGATAAGAATCATCCCCATTCAGGAACATGGCAGATGCAGAGAACAGTTTTGTTTAAAGGTCTGTCAGCTTGATATGTTTTTATGCCTGTGATGCCCTTTTAACCTCCACATGTGACATTGGGGTATAAAAATAAATTGAAGTGAACTGAAATCACATAGCTGGTTAGCACATTTACACTATTATGTATACTGTAAGTAACCAGCAGTATGTAAAAGCAGTAAAAAAAAAAAAAAGCTAATAAAAATTACATTTATTTCCTCTTCAAAAGCATGTTAAAAAAATGAATAAGGGGCATATGAAGCTTTCTGAGAAAACTAGAGTTTTGCATTACAATCATTAAGTGCAGAATAAATAATCTGGGATGCTTTTAGTTACCGATTTCTCCAAAAGAACAAGTATGCTGTATTTAACAAACTCATCTGGTGACCTTTTTATTTTACATGTAATGTTTTACTGTTGGTTTTAAGTTTCAAAACTTATTGTTGTTTGACCAGAAACCAGGGACCTGCACGGAGGCACAGTGGAAGATAAGGATTATTATAAACTGTGAATCATGCAAAGCTACCCTGGAGTTGGAAACAACTGTAACAGGTCAATGAAAAGTCTAAAGACTAAAAGAGGATCATTTTGCCTCTGCTGCGGCCATTTTTATTGTAATTATGAGTCTCCTGGTTTTATCGAGTTGCCATACTAAATGCATGCATTAAAATTTAAAAACAGGCAGCTCATTATGTCAGCAAAGCCTCCCTGTTGCATATGCATTCATGTGTACGCAAAGCCTCATTAGCTCTTTGAAAAACAAAGGTACAAAGTAATTGACTGCCGGTGCACAGAGTGTTCTGTGGCCTTGTTTGACTCTGTGTGTGTATGCTCAAGTTCAAATCAGGCGGATAACCCCCACCCCCGCTCCGTCTTTCTCCCTCTTCCCTCTCCCAGCTTTTCCTTTGATTCATTTGGACTCGCAGTCCCTCTCAACAGTCTCAGTGCTGCAGCGGCTTTCAGCGCTCTAATCCTCATCCTGCTCTCGGACAGCAGGCCAAGATTCTCATTATGTGAGGTTGTGTAACTGCAGACAAAGAGTAAATAATTCCACACATTCATACTGGCTTAAAATAATCAAACTGAATTCGATGAGAGAGAGAACAAACGCACTGAGTGGGACTACTTTGTCATTGTTTAGAAATCCTTATATTATATACCATACGGACAGTTACCAGTCCAAAATCATGCTACATTTTTTTCATAAAAAATACAGATGTTTTAGAGGCCTGAAATAGCGGGTTTAATAATGCAGAGAAAATCCATTTATAAAATGCTCATTGGAGAAGCAGTTATCCTAAAATATTAATTCTATAATATACTGTGTGTATATTGCATGTGAGAGTGTTTCCACATGTTTATTTTAGTGATATGAAGGGTAGCAGTACAGTTGATCTGCAGAGTTCAGACAGCGTTACTATTCAGATGATGTGTTTTACCTTTCCAACACTGCAATTCAGTTGCAATTTAGTGTTTAAGTGTCTGAAAATGTCCCAATTTTTCTTGACTTCTGACCGCACATTTTCAAGGAAGCTTAATCTGAGAATCTGTGCAATAGAGTCTAGAGCAGCTGTCTAAGGAGTTTATAATTTTGAGTCTTAATACATTAAGACTCAAACTCCTTAAAAGCTGCCCAATATTTAAAGCAATATAAAAGGATGTAAACTATGAAAAAAGCTTAATTAAATATATTAAATGCAATTAATGAAGTATACAATATTTAGATGTGAGAGGGAAATCAAGTAAAACAGGTATAGAGAAAGTATTTGTTTTTTTTGGTTTGAGTTCTAAAGTTACATTTTGATTCTTGTTAAAATATAACTGTCGGCACTTCCAGATGTGAGCTTGCTTATCTGGAAGCTACCCTGTTTCCTTCTCCCTCTCCTTAACTTGATTAAATAAGTGACTGAAATGACGTATCTTGTTAGGGGGGGAAACAACAAGAAAGAGGAGGATTTAATTATGCTTCTGTCCTCAGTAAACCTTCTTCCACTGCAGCATTCAAATTGTTTTCTGTGGTTCATGTGGGTAGTGGGGAGGAAGAAAATATCCTTCTTTATATAAAACAATCAAATCAAATTATTTAATGAGTCTTTTCCATTAATGACCTGGCATTGGGGATTTAGAAAAAAAAAATGTGGTGGAATAAGCTTAAAGAATCAAATGCACTGAAAAACATTACATTACCGTCATTGTTTATGCCACATGGTGTTTAAGCCTTGGCCTGGTCACATGCATTATAATAATGTCTTTGTTTAGTACACTCTTGTCATGCTCAGAGATAAGATCACTCCAATCAAGGGGTTAGCTATAACCTTATGTAACCATGAAAGGAGGAAGTAGAACATGGAAGTAGAAAGCAGATTTGTTTCAGAGTTTGTTTGTTCTTTTAGGGCACTACAGGCCAGAGCCTCTATCCTCATGTCACCTCTAAATCCCAAATCACTTTCCCTTGAACGCTGCACTAAAATAGACTGCAGATGGAGCCTCATGACCATCACTAACATATTTGTGATTTATCTGATGATGTGGAACATCTTTTGTATGAGTGAAGAACAGATTATTATTATTAGCTCTAAAATTATCATGATTGCTTGAGGGCGGTGTGATAAAGCAGGTTTTCCATCTTATGACAGGGTTGGTGGTTTGATTCCAATGGCAGAACACTTTACGTTGCACCTTGCAATTTGCATGGCAGTGTGTGAGTAAGTGTATGAGCCCTTGATTATGTAATGACATACGGTCAAGGCCAAAAGAGGCCTTTTTAATATTGGTCATATTTTATATGTTAATACAGCTGTGGTCACTAGTTTAGATGCACTTATCATGGGCATGGATGAGATGGTAATTTGGGGTTTTGAATTATTTAATTGTTCTTTCACAACTTGGGTGCAAAAGTTTGAATTTATGCATATACATTCCTTCGAATACTTGGTTAAATGTTCCTTAGCAAGCTGCACCATGGCCAGAATCTTTTTGGTTGCTGTCTGCAAGCTTGTGGCATAATTCTGGTTGGGTATTTGACCTGTCTCTTGGCGAAATTTCTAGAGTTCACTTAAATTGGTTTGTTTCTTGGTGCACATCTGGATGGAGGCAAGGCCATTCCACAAGCTTCATGTTAGCTTGCATTTTGAGTCCAGCCTGCCTCATTGGTTATGACAGTTTTGATGCGTGTTTGGGATTATTGTCCTGTTAGAAAATCCAACTGTATCCAAGTTTGACTTTCTAGCTGTTGATTTAAGGTAAAGTTGAAGAATTTGGAGGTAGATCTCCTCTTTTATTATTTCATCAACTTTGTGCAATGAACCAGCACAACTGGCAGTAAAATAGCTACAGAGCATGATGATGCCACCACCCAAGCTTGTTAGTTGGTGCATCATTTTTAGGTTTGAAAGCTTGACCTTGATCTTTCTGAAACATACCTAATGTCTTTGTGGACAAATGGTTCAACCTTTGTCTTATTTGTTGTCCATGTGGGCAGCTGCAAATTTCAGTTGAGCTTGAAGGTGTTCATTTTTAACAGGGGCTCCTACTTGGTTGAGACCCTTTCAGTCTCAATCCAGTAAGTGTATATATCTCATTGTATTTCTTCAGGCATAGGAATCTAGAATCGGCTTCCAGTAGTCCAGTTCCTTGGAACTGTTAGTATGCTTGACTATGATCCTGCTTTCCAGTTCCAGTTGCACTTGTGGTTCTTTGAGCTGATTTCAGTTTGTGTGTCTGAGGAGGTAAATAGTGTTTATGGACATTACTTGTATTGTTACTGCACAAAATGATGAGTAAAGTGCAAACTGCATCCAGTACATCAAGCACAACAGTCGCATTATGCTGCTAACATAACTTCACCTCGCTGCAAGCATCTACACCAGTGATGTCCAAACCTCTAGGCCTCGAGGGCCGGTGTCCTGCAGGTTTTAGATGTGTCCTTGATCCATCACAGCTGATTTAAATGGCTAAATTACCTCCTCAACATGTCTTGAAGTTCTCCAGAGGCCTGGTAATGAGCTAATCATTTGATTCAGGTGTATAGACCCAGGGTGAGATCTAAAACTTGCAGGACACTGGCCCTCGAGGCCTGGAGTTGGCCAAGCCTGATCTACACAGACAGCATGCTAACGCAAAGCTAGCCAAGAACCCAGCGCAGCCCCGGCACAGGAGCCAGACTCTGAACTTCAACAGATAACAAACAGATGAGCAGTCAGGCTGCAGCCTCTATTTCTACCTGAAAAATGTTCTGTACAATATATTACCTTTTTTGAGTAATGACCCCAATGGTGATCACAATAAAGAGGGGAAATACCTCCAACATGAACAAGCATTTGACCCACGACATGTCATTAATTTGCATGAATGTCTTTGATATGCTGCTTAGCGATGGTGTTTACTATCAAAGTAAAGAGAATAAGAGAATCAATAATGAATCGGAATCACTAAATTCTTATCATTTCGCTTCTGTAGTTCTCATTGGCTCTGCTCATTTCATTTCTGACCTCATTCTGACCAAAATTTCAAATAATGCATTAAGTGTATCTGCAAATAGTCTCCAAAATGCTCATCTCAAGAACACAGCTCTGGCTGTGTGCACAGAAGCCCCGCCGACCTGCTGTTCAAGCCTTCTGTTTTTTGGAAGGCAAAACAGGTTATGGTAGACCATGATAAACTGGGAGGCCTGCACCAAGACCAAGCACAAGGTAAATAAGGTTTATTTTGAACTGTTGGTCATGCAAAGCTACCCTAATAGAGTCCAAGAACATAGTTATGGAACTGGAAATGAGCATATTAGGTCCCTTTTAAGGACTTTCTAGCTCTTAGATTAAAAGGCATCATTTACTATTAACTTCATGTAGCTATTTCAGGCTCTGACTAAGGCATTTATGTGTTGATGCATGTACTAGCTAGTTAACGTCTCTGCTCAACATTCATTATGTTGTCCCCGATTAGCAGGATTAAGAACCCAGTTTTAGCCATGGTAGCACATCAAAGTGGACCTAGCTGCAGCAGCTCAGTCTTAATCGCTAGTACAGAGCAAACTCTAAAACTAACCCTTGACTTGGTTGGGCTCCTGCAAAACATTTGTATGATTGCATAACTGGTCTCATGAGAGGTAAAGATATAACTGTTCCTGTTCACATACCAGAAAATCCAGAACATGAGGGTTAAATTAACTGTACGTCAGACTTCCATATTATTAAAGAGGAATTTCGTGGATTTTATTGAATCTGTCGAAGAACTTAGTATTTCCATGTAAGCTTATAAAAAGTTACAAACAGGCTTTTGTACAAAATTACATCACTTCAGTATCATGCTCTGGAAGTTAAATCCATTTACAGAGTGGAAACTTGCAATTACAATAAATGATTTTAAAATGAATATCTCTCATTTTAAAATATGTTCATGCACCAAACCCTCTCTCTTTTTTGGTTTGTTTTTGTTTTTTGAGGTTTTACCAAAGCCTCAGAATCTCTGTGATCTTTTATGCAACTAAAAATACTGTCAATATTAATGCTTTGCTGTGGATCACATTAGGTCAGCAGTGGTTTTTTCTAACTTTGTTTACAAAGCAGTGCAGATTCATTGCTGAATGTGTATGCTTAAGCATGTGTTGTAGATGCTGGTAAGTGTGTGAGGTTGTGAGTCTGTTTGTCTTCCCTGAGGGTATGCAATACACAACATTCTATATATTTGTTAGATGGAGGGAGAGGAAGCTTCTTAATGTGATGATGAACTCCATCATCTGACATAATCAGGATGAATCAGTGCACCGTGTTACATAAGCAGATCCCCATCCTTACCTCACCCTTACCCAGATTAGAAACACAGCAGACACAGCCGCCTACAGCCTGCTGATACCTGCCTGCAGCCTGGAGGACCGACGTGATAACAGAACACTGACATCTAGAGGTCAAATGCTGATATCAAACATAGTGCTTTCTCTCTCATGGAAAATGAAAAATGTGTTTTCACTTTCTTTGAAAACCCCAAATGACTTGAAACGGACAATTCTTCCTAATCTTGCTGTAAAGCAAACAATATTTAAGGGCAGGAGTATAAAACATTCAGCCCACGGACCAGAACCGGCCCACTGGAGGGTCCAGTTTGATGTACTAATGACTGAAAAATGCAGTTTTGCAGTACTGACAAGGACATAAATCGTGGCTTATTGTGCAAAAAGAGTAGTAAAGTAACTAATAAACCATTAAACAAAAAAAAAAATTCCATTGCTGACAAATATCATAGTATTTCTCAATAATTTTGAAGTCCCAGCTTTATGGTTTTGTGATTTATTTGTATTTATTTTTTATTTATTTATTTTTAAATCAGGCTCGACTGACCAACAGTTTTACAGAATTAAAAGTCTTTATTGTTGGAATTAAAACAATCTTAAAAATTCTTAACACAACAATGCTAACAACGCTCTTTTGAAATAAAAATATTTTACAAATAATATAGTATCTTCTGCTGTTGTAAAAGATCGTGACAATAAATATGTTGCTTAGTTTTTAATGACAATAGAGAGCTCAGAAAAATACTGATTATTTACAGCTTTAGCAAATGCTTATTTTTAAATAAAAATATGTTTAAAAAAATAAACCAATATTAGTTTGCTTCACATATAATTTAAGTCATATTTCTATTACCACTTTGGACACACCAGCTCATGAGTATGGGTCAGTGTTTCTCTTTCTGACTGCATGATGTTTAACTGTTGTGTCACATCAGTTTTGTGGTCCTTTTAAACTGTATAGAACCCAGTGTAATAGATTTATAGTTATCAGATACTTTGTAAGGACATAAAATCATACTGCAGTGCAGTATTCTTTCTTTCCCTTGCACAAAAAGGTGGGAATTAAAAAAATTAAATTAAATTAAACATTGATATTTGCACTTGGCCAAAATCTGCCAAATATCAGTACTTCCTCTTGCTTTGCCTGTAAGGGGAACAGAATTTGAGATGACTATATCATCTCAGTGCTGACATAATTAAGCATGGCTAATAAGCACTCGTGGCTTTCTTCGTAAGCTGTGAGTTCTGGATACACTGTTGTGTGTCATCTTGTAACCAATGCTACAAACACTTTTAGGTCTTTTGTTAGTGTTTAAGTCCACTGTCTGTAAACCCACAGTGTGTATAGTGTTTGTAAAAGCGGCTCTTATAGTTTTAGACATGCTTATTTTACAAAGGTTGTCTTCTTCTGGTTGACATGCTGCCAGGTTAAGTTAGGACTTTGATTTAAGGTTTAAGGTAACTGTTGTGCTCAGATATGTAGATGTGATGGTTAAAGGGTACCCAATATTATCTGCCTATCTAATATTGTCTGTCAACAATGGTGGATGCTCATGTTAAATAAGGCTAAGGTTTCACGTATTGAGGTCAGTGTACGTGTGAGTAATCCTATCAGCTAAATGTTCAGGTGTCAGACTTTCAGTTTCTACAACTTCTTTTGTATGATGTCACAGAGGTAGATATCTCTAAAACGGTCATCTTAGCACAAAAGCCCCACACGAGCAGCCAGTCATGGTAAAGCTGGCTTCTTTGAGACCAGGGATAACATGAGGCGTTGCACCAAGATTTAATATAAGATGAAGTTTTGTTTTGAACTGTGACTCATGCAATGCTACTACAGCAGAGTTTTATAATAAAAATAGACGTGGTGCCCTTCAAGAACAGGGAAACACCACTGAAGGTTCTCAAAATTAAAATATGTGTAATAGAGAGAGACAAAGGAGATAAACTTGCTACAATGCCTGCAGCAAGTCCCCTGCTCCATCTTTTTTCTGTGGAGTACTCCTCTAATTACCGGTGCTTCAGCAATTACTAATGGTCACTCTTTGAGTGACGGATATCAATCATTTCTGAAGCTGAAGGGTTTTCAATTAGATTTTGAGTTAGACCTATCTCATTTGTTTTGTAAGTATACCAAAAACATCTACACCGGATGAGTTTTGAGGTCCTACATTCAGACAAAATTTGTCTACTTTTTAATTAAAATGTCCTATAATGGCAGAGGTGTAGATTTGTGTATATGCGAGAGCGTTAGTTGTGTCTCTTCATGTGCAGAGCCAGGTGGTCTGAGCGAGAGAAGGCTCTCTGACAGAGCATACACTGGTACGGTTTCTGACCCGTGTGCTTGCGGTAGTGACGTGTCAGCTCATCCGAGCGGGCAAATTTCCAGCTGCAGCCCTCCCATGAACAGTGGTAAGGCTTTTCACCTGATAAAAGATAATAAAGCAGATAGCAGTTTTAAAAAAAAGCATCATTTAAACCATGAGTTAAGATCAGTTGTTTCTGTTGTTGGTTACCTGTGTGGGTGCGGAGGTGAGCCTTGAGGTGCGAGCTCTTGGTGTAGGTCTTGCTGCAGCCGGGGTATTCACAGCTGTGGATGGCTGGTCTCTTTTTCCCCGTAGCTCTTCTGCCACGCTTCCCTTCCAACCCACTAGGGGGCACCTGTTGTCCAACCAGCAGAGGCTGCTGGTGCAGGGGCAAATGCCCCTGGCTGTGGTTGTAGTCACAGTAAAGGCTGGCAGTGTGGTTAAAGTGGGGCAAGTAGCGGTAGTGTCGAGGGTCAGGAGTCACAGGCTGAGGTCGGATGAACCTGTTTTCAGGGATGGCCACCACGGGAGGCTGTTGCTGTTGGTGGTGGTGGTGATAGTAGGGGTTGAAGTCCCATGATGCAACCTTACTGAGGCTTCCTCTGCTGTGTCTTTCAACACTTCCTCCTTGGGAGAAGTCAAACTGATTTACGTTATGCACATTAGAAAATAAAGTTCGACCTGTTTGATCATCATTAAAACTACGCTGGTACAGCTCTGGCTGGACTGTGGTGGTTTCAGCAGGGGACATGAGCTCAGCCATGAGGCTGCCGCTGTTCATCTGCAGACTCTCCTGTCCTGATGGGTCCTTAAGCACACTCGTCTCTTGGTATGCAGTGTTTGGGTCAAACTGCGGAAGCAGTTGGTTGCTGTTGTTGAGAGAGGGGCTAGGGTCGGGGGAAGGGCTGCGCCACTCTGACAGCAGAAACTCAATGTCCCATGATGCTTGGCTGTCATCATCCAGGAGCTCCTCTGCCATTTGTTCAGAGACCTGCAGTTGCTCAGAGCTCTTTGGTGACAGTTTAGTGCTTGGGGAGTCCAAAGGGAGAGACCCATCTGACTTACACACCTGTTGGAGAGAATTTTAAGATCATGAAAACCAAGAACATCCTTAAATGTTCACAGAGGGTATTTTCCAAATATACAAACAAACTAGATTACCTATTTTGTTTACCTCAGAATAACCAAATAATAATATAAGCCCATAATAAATTCAGCTGAATTTCATCGAATGAGTAGATTTTCCTAGCATTTGCACCAGTGAGTCAAGCTTCGTGCTTAGGGCCACAAAGCGCCTAATCTGATTTAAAACGGACCAGACCAGTAAAACTGTTGCGTAAAAACCACTGTGAGATGGTTTGAGAAAACTGTGCAATTTCAATAATATGTCTCAGTTTTTCTTGTGTTATCACATGTACATTACAATTTGTAGATCACAATGGATCTGCAAAGCCACAAATCTTCAAGTGTAGAGTATTTTTGAACTTCAACAATATTATTTTTAGTTCTGTATAAAAAGAACAGCTTCCGTCTCAACATACTTGTATCTTTATGGACATTTCCACTCTGTTCTGTTACAAATTTGAATTATTAATGACTGTTATTCAATTGTAAAACTTTCAGACTTTGCAAAGTCACTGTTCTTTATTACTGATTTAATTTAGTTTAGTTTCTTTCACATAATAGTAATTTTTGTTTTTCAGATTGCCAGAAATAACAAAAAAAATGCATTAATTTCTGCCCACTGTGGTAATAGATGCTGGTGGCTCTCACACACGTGTATTATTCTAATACAAATCCAAAGCTATCATTAAACATATTCAAAAAATTATTTATTAAGCCAACAGTTTTGCTCCCTGCAGACTTTCTTTACATTGTGATTTCATTGCTTTTTCATATAAAGCAGCACAATCCACAATACAATAAGTGAACTCAATTGGAACAACAGCAAAATTTTACAAAAAGCTACCAAGTGTAAATAAGATTTCATTTAACTTCATCTTGAAACTGTATGCAGTATATTTTTAGAGCCCTTTAGAACAAACAAAAAAACTTACAAGTCATTTTTGTAGCAGTTTAATTTTGAGCATTATTCCGTCACTTTTGTAGTAAAAGCAGACACATAAGTATTAAATGGTCACACTACATGAAAGGTGAGTCACTATATTTCGCTAAAAGAATCAAATATTTGAAGTGAACATGCTACTTACTTTCATATTGTCAGTGGAGTGAGAGAGGTTGGAGAAGGAGCTGAAGGAAGGGAGCACAGCCTGGGTAACAGCCATCAAGCAGTCTGATATGGCAACAGGTGTAACAAGAACAGGAAAGTTTCTCTTTTCTTTTGGATACTTCTGTATTTTTTTATTTTTTTTTACATGCCCACCTCACCCTCAGCTAACAGGAAGTCAGACTCCAGCTCACCAGGCCTCTCATCCCAGTTACAGTCCACTCAGTGCAAACAGGCCACAGAGAACTGCCTCCTTTTCGTCATTGCTTGCCTGCTATCTCTCCCTCCTCTCTCTTGTCTATCTCTGTCAGCTGCAAGTCTAACTTCAAATCTCTCGTTTTCATGTAGGTTTCGACCGTTAGGAGGTGGAGCATACGTGTAAATTACTTCTCTGGTTCCTTTAAGACCGGTCATTTATAAACCCTAAGAAACTCTACTATCTGACCTCAGCACACTGTCTTCCTGTTGTGTGGGATTCAGAGCAATAAAACCTGAAAAAACATTGAGCGTCAGGCTGTCCTCTCACCTTTTACATGTGAGGAAAGACCAAACAACCTTCGCTTTTGCTGCAATTAAAAGCTAAAATTTGATGAATCATTATCAGTGAAATGGTCACTGACGTGAATATGCTCAACAATCATTTTACACTCATGTTTTTAAAATTCTTAAAGTACGTTTTTACAGATGTTTATTTCACAGAGGAAAAAGTTGGGATCAAATAGCAACACACACATTTTTTTAAGGCTTCACAGGGAGTCAAATGATGATGAGGATTAAAGCAATAGTTGTTAACTGTTTACGCATTAAACACGAAAGAAACATTTTTGGTTTGTCACTGGAAACTTTTATTTTGTAAGTAGAATATGTCAAAAAGGGAAAGGGGGAAACTGTTTTACAAAATTAAACAATAAATTAATATAAATTTGCGTATGTGAGTTTTAATTTGTATCATTTGGCATTTTTGTAGCACTGCACGTGTCTGACAGTGTACATCAGGTATTTCAGGGAAACAAAATCATGCTAATGATGCAGAGCTAAAATGTATCAAATATGATACACTAGCCTTAACAGGATTAAACAGCTGCTCCATCAAAACTGAACGAGTAGTTTTAAAATGATACACAAAATAATAAAATCATGATAATTAGATAGTAACAGTCACTGCAAATAGTTGCAAATAAATAAAAAAAAGGGGATAAATAATGCTGAAAACATCTTCTAAGTTTACTGAACTACCATCCATACTTTTGAATGTCTACACAAATGCCTTTAAAGTGCAGTAAAATTAAGCCTGTAGACAAATGGCGCACACTCAGTTATTTTTCATTCACAAGTAAACAGATCATTGGCTGTTATCAGATGAAAGGCCGCTATCTATTTAAGCACGCTTTGGCACAAAGTCCAAACTGTGTGGGCACACATACAGAGACGTTTTATGCACGTTTAATGTTGATAGACATGTTAATTGAAAAAAAGAAAACATACATGATTTGAAAAAGCAGCTTGCATACTTTTAATATGATTGTGTAAATACCTAAAAACAGGTGACTGGCATATAAACATATACTAAAACAAATAATGGATATGTAGTAATTTTAATTGTTTGACTCTACAGCAGAAAGTGAACCTCTTCTTCTGTTTTTGCTGCTTACAGTTTAACACACTTGTGCACACAGGTTGTGTCTGTATTCCCAGTGAGGACGTGTGACTTCTGAGAAGACCTATGTGTGAAAGGTGATTATATTCTGGCTGCTGTTTATCTGCAGACATTCAGCAAATGCAGGCTGCTGTATTTCCACAGATAATGATGCCCTGACTGCTGCTGACCCCCGATGACTTGCCCGCCACTGATAAAGACTCTCTCTTGAGAGTCTTCCGAGTGACGACTACACATAAGACATTCACTATGCAGGTTGAAAAAATATGCAATGATCGACTGCTTTATAGACACATTGAATCGTACATGTACAATGACAATAAAGGGCCATTCTATTCTGTTCTATTCTATTAAACAAGTTCAATTTAGGCTGTTTATTTGTCACTTTCAAAGGCATTGACTGAAAATGCATTTGTTTGAGTCTCACGATTGGTAATTAGTTTGCGTTACTCTTAATTTTTTTTTTTTTAAATCCCTTGTAGTTTTAATGATATAATATCAATATCTTAGGGATCCATATGAGTGTTTTGTTCTATAAAAATGGTATTTAGCTATTAATTAGCTAGTAATTCCTGACTTCCTCTCTGTATATATATTTTAACAGAATAAAAAATGTTTAATAGACTCTTGGTGACAAAACTAAAATAAATGAAAATAAAATCAATAACTGATGGAAGCCATTAAAACGGTAATAAAAATAATAATCTGTCTCCCTCTAGTGGCCATAGTTGACACTGCACCACTGTCTTGAAACCATTGGTAAGCGTAAAATATCTTTTAAAAAAGATTTTAAAAACGTGGAGTCTTATAGTAATAATTTTCTGTCTTTCCCTCTTTTTTTTTCTTTTTTTTAAAAACATATTTCAGTGAGTTAAAACAGGGCTTTTGTTATTTAGTTGCTATAGCAACATAGTGTTACTGCCGTCTTCCTGAGTTTGAAGTTGGTCTCCTTTTTTTAAAGACTGGCCTTTCCTTAAAAAACAACGAGGTATGCTTTAATAATGTTATTAGTGTTTAATATTAGATTATTAATATAATATTTAGTTACGATATTTGTCTCGTAGATTAACGGGTTTTTTTCCGAAGCTTTAGGTCGTGTTGAAGTCATAGATCACAGCGATGAAGTTCACGTTAAATTCAGGAATAACAGCATCATAAATTGAACTAAAACAATGGTTTTCTGGGTTGTAATTTGTGTGTTTTAGTTTGCAGATGGAAACTTCCTCACAGGCTTCAGCTAGCAGGGGATTGTGGAACAGCCCCAGAGCCACACAGTTCAGCAAGGAGACCCAGGACATGCTGAGATGTAAGCTGTGCTCCAAAAAATCTGAGCTCACTAAAGAAACATTAATAAAAACCTTAAATTTTGCTCTAGCATATTCTAGCATGCATACATGATGATATCAGTGCAGCAGTTTGAACTAGAAATACAGTGTTGACAGGCTGGAATCAGCCCGCCACAGACTGCCCAGCTTTGTTCAACCTTGATGTGTTGATAGTTTTGAATTACTTACTACGTCTTCAAGCAGTTCTTCCAAAGGTTTCAGGCATGTTGGAGTTAAAACCTCAGATAAATTGTCCTGGGTCAGAGGGAAGTTGGGGTTTCCAGATTTGAATATACCCACCAGCGTTTTTCACTCTGAGTGTGAGGCACTTCAGTGTCATTGTCAGTCCTGTAAACACACCATGTGAGCTTTTCGTGGTCAGAACATTTGTTCTTCATTTTGCATGTCCTCAAATTTTATGAAGATATGAGAGATTTTATGATCCCGCTATAGAGCTGTGTCTGTGTTTCATTTACCGTTGCTGAGGCCTGTGCTGTGTACTCTTATTGTTCTGTTTCTGTGCTCAGTGTTGAAGCAGGAATCAAGGGTCACCAGCCTCAAGAGAAAACAGATCAACAATCAGCCAAAGAGTAAGTTTGTTAAAGGTCTGATACTGTCTCATGGAGTATTTTCTTATATTTATACTTAAGATATAGTTGTAAGTTAATAACAATATTCCACTCTGTACATATGACCTGTTGCTAAATACCATCATGATTTTGGCCCTTATGGTGCCATATACTGTTTCTATTGGACTTCAGATTGATTTAACACTCGGGCATGATGTGCTGAGAGCAGGTGTACCTGATATGGTTGCCTAAATTATGTGGTTCACGTTGTAACTCCCACCTGCTGTTCAAATCTGTTTGTAAGGAGCAGACACCCAGGGTCTGGATTGGAGGGACAGTGATCTAGGCAGAGATGCCCAGATCTGCCTCCTCCCAGCCACCACCTCTTATTCCAAGGCATTCCCTGGCAAGCCAAGTGACACAATGTCCATAGCTTGTCTGTTCCGGGTCTCTTCCCAGACACTACCAAAACACCTCTCCGTCCTACTCAGATGCCCAATCTTCCTCAGCTGACTCCTTCTAGTGTGGAGAAGCTATGTCTATACGCTGTACCCCTGTCAAATGATCGAGAACCTCGGCCTAGCCCAGTTCACTGTTCAGTTTCTTTAAACTGTGAATCATGCAAAGCTTGTCGGGAAGAGTCCCACACTTCAAATATGGGGTTTGAAAAAAAGCATCCACAATTAGCAACGCTTCATTTTTTGTAAACAAAAAACTTTTGCTGCTGTAAAATTTTCTCCTTCAGATGAAACAGCTTTGCCTTTCACCTCTGATCCGGCACAGTCTTCTCCTCCTGGTGAATCTGTCCAGAAACACTGGCCAGTCCACACTCAGAAACGCACCGCCGAGGCATGTCGGTCTGGGAACAGCTACGAGAGAGAAAAGTTTCGTCCTGGTCCAACACGTACGTTCTTGAAACTGACATAAATTTCAGTTTATGTGTATATTGCATGTCATTGATCCCTTCAATTTCCCCAATTTCTTTCCTTTTCTTCTTCATTTATTCCATTTTCTGCACTCTGAGAAAAAGTCAGGCTCTGTTTTGCGGAACTTTTTCTTTATGTCACCCAAGGAGACCTAGAGAAAGAGAAGAGGAAGCTTCAGAACATCTTTGCACATGGGACCGAGCAGCCCGGAGCGGGATCTTCTCAGAAGCCTCCTCAACATCAGAGCTCAGAAATACCAAAGAAGATGGATCGCTATCAGGAAGGTGAGGCTGACTGCAGAGCAAAACAATGAGGTGGAGCGGTTACACCAGCACCATATTTGAATCTTAAAGGGACAGTTTAACCCCCAATTTTTCCTCTTGCCTGTAGCGCTGTTATCAATCTAAATTCTTTTATTGGGAGTTGTTTTGTAGATTTCAGCTCCAGAAATGCCTGCCTTCTAGATTGTAATAGAAGTGCATGGAACCTTGGGGTGTTTTTAGTGCAACAAAAGATACATTTGAAAAACGAAAATTTGTTTTTGTAGGGAATATTTTCTAAACCTTCTGACAAGATCAATATGCTCACTGATCCTCGGAGTAAGACCACGTTCTGTTTTTCCTGCAGTTCTGAATGAAATACAGGAAAGACAACAGTTTCTGGAAGACATGGCCTCCCTGGGTCAGGAGAAAGATTATATCGACATCATCAACACTGAGATATCTCAGGTAAACGTGCTTTCAGCCACTATTATGTTCATTTAGTATTGTATTTTAATATATATATTTCAGTGACGAGACAGATCAGTAGCATTTTAAATTGAACTAAGATATGATCAGATTCACTTAAATGTATCCTGGCTCTAATAACAGAAATTACGAGAATTGGAGATAATGGAAAAATCCCACGTTCCCACATCTGATACAAACACAGAGAGGACAGAAAATGCAGCCAACAAAGAAGACTGACCGTTGTCTTTGACCGGGCGGTCTGCTTCTCTTCAAGCAAGCGACATACCTTCAGTCAGAGCAGAGACACACGCGCACGCCAGTGAATACAACACACATCTACCCAACTGTGTGAATTTCTTTTATTCCTCTGCCTCCCAGTGTCAGTATTTCACACAGTCCTGCTGCCGTTTTAGGACAATGTACAAGATGACAAAAATGTGGTGGCACAGAAGCCCTTTGTTTCAGCTGGACAGGAAGTTAGGCACAGAGCAGAAACAGACAGACACAGCCACACAAGACAAATACATCATCTAAGAGACGAGAACACGAACAGAATGAGTAAACACGTTTACATTAGCTCGAACTAACGATGTATGCAATAAAATAAATGGCACTCGATATAAACTACTTTAAGGCAAAACACACACGCACAAAAAGGCATAGTAAAATATAAATTAATGATTGCATACCTCAGGTCCATCCTTCGATAGTTAAAACCGTTATAAACTGGGCTTTTGCTACAGTTGATAAAATACTGTATACTTTCTTCTTCTGAAATTCAATATTGCATCTGTTACCTTCCATAATAAAAGGACACCTATCCTGCTTTTCCTTGGAAAATGAATAAGTCCCGTTTAAAACTAACCGGCAGTTTGTTTTTTGTCTGCAGTTCGTTACTCGTCTAATTTTCTCCTCCAGTCTAACCCACTTATAAATACTATATCTATGTTTGTGTAATGCTTTGATGACAAGCACCAACACAATTGTAAAACTACTACTGAAGAAACTAAAATACACACAAACACAAATAAAATATGTGTATATATAGCAGCTAGAAGTCTTTGATTGAGCTTTTCAAGAGTAGATGCTGCAGTTTCAAGCAAGTTTCATCTGGAAAAAAAACAACAAAAAAGACAAACTTATTGCTACTAGTACCATGGGCTCAACCCAAACATGATATAAAACCTCAAAAACGTGCACCTTTGAAGGAGCAAAGGAGACCACTACTCAAGAGGGTGCAAGTAAAACTAAAAACATTAAAAACTCAAGGATATCAGGGATCAACGCAAGCTGACATATCACATCTTTGCTGAAGGCCTATAGAGCAGAGTCACTGTGCAATGCAGGGATGTTAAAGCAAAAAGTAATCAGTGCAGTAATACAGAAACCCACCCAACATGCCACTAGTTTGAATATTCAGAGCCTAAACTTTTTAAAGCACTTGCTGTCAGACACTAAAAGGCAACTGAATGTCATAATCTTCTATCAAAATTCTTTAGTCTTCTTAAAATAGTAGTCCTTCAAATATCCTCTTGAGCTAGACGTGTCCTCTGCTGTTCAGCTCTTCTCCTTACGCGGGCTGGGACTCTTTCCCGGTTCTCCTTTATGGCTCAGACGCTTGAGCACCTTGATGGGTTTAAACTTTGCCCCTTTTTTCTTCTGGTGATCGCTGTCTGGATCCTTCTGAAAGTCTGATGAGGATTAAAATAAGAAATAAAACTGCATTAAAAATTTAAAGGAAGGAAAAGAGTGCCTTCATGAATCTAATGAAACATCATCGCACCTTTTTTCTTCAGCATCTCTTCCATAAGTTTGTCCTCTTCTTCCTCCCTGTGACAGAACCACAGTTAGACTCCTGCCAGTCTCTACACAACACAGATGCACATGAACTGTCTGTACTCGATTACCTCTGCCTGTCCTCGTCCATGCTGTTGACTATTTGGTTGCGCTGTTCAATGATGGTAACCAGCTCAGCCATCAGCTCCTGCTCCCGACTCTTGTCATCCTCGGTCCAGTCTTTCTCTGATGAGAGGAAAGAAGAAATGGAAGAAGCAGAGCATGATTAATAATTTAATCTGTTGTTTTATTTCAATTACGTACACGTTGTAGGTGTTCACAAGGTTTATAAATTATTGATGCAAAAGCAGAGCAGCATTCACTATAAACTAAATGCACATCCACCATCCTGTCAGGTCAGCAGGGAGTCCTGATTAATAAGTCTTGGAGTGCTGGAGATACTGACATTTCATTCATTGCACAAACTAACCAAGAGATTCTTAATAATTCAAACTGAAGATTGATTTTTATTTTTATTTTTTATGTTCTTTGAGTACTTCAATAATGTAAACAATAATTTTACAGAATATAGTTACTGGGAGCCACTGAAATGAAACTGGATTGGGCATTTAATGGTTTTTAACCTTCCTGTACATGTGAGAAAGGCCAGTCTGGATAACGTTCTAACCCAGTTATTATACAGATGATACTAGGAGAGAAAAGATAATGACTGAGGACAGATGGAAATGTCTCAAATACCTGGTTTGTTGAGAAGACACCTCAACTCGTACTCCACATCAGCCTGCCTCTCCTCCAGGTTCTGCTGCTTCGCCCTGCAGAGAGCAACACATTAAGCAACAATAAGTTCGAAAATATAACTTCACGCTTACTGTTCTGAGCATCTGTCTACAGAGTTTATATGTAAAAATAAAACCAGCCATGACGTTCCTAAACTGTAAAATTTATATCTTACGTGTAGACCAGCTCAGCTTCCCGTCGGACAAGAAGGTGTTTATCATGAATTAGGGTGAACCAGTCCACCAACAAGTGCTCCTCATCTTCATCTAAATGAAGAAAGGGTGAATAACAAATATTAGTACTCCAGTCATTTCTGACAGAGAAGCAGATTTGCTTTTATTACTTAGAAATGACTATTTAAAAAACAAACAAACAAAAAGAACAGAAAGCTGGTCTTCACTGGACTTAAAGTGCTGTAATGTGATACCGTTTGGATTGTCTCTGAGCTTCTTCTCCAGCTCCACTCCCCTCTGCTCCAGCTCATCCAGCTGCTTCTCCAGCTGACTCATCTCCCCATGGATGTCCTCAACTGGGATGTATTGATCTGACTGCACCTGGAAGGATGTTTGAATCACATGACTACTACTTCATCTGTTTTACTCTTAAGTGATGATGTCATTTCTGTCGGGTTTATTTCTGTTTTTAATTAGTCCGTTTTTATTTTGGGGGGTTATTTACCTTGCGTTTAATAAGTGGGAAGCCATGACCGGGAGCCGGGGGTCTAGCAGGACGGGGGCCTTTTGGCGGTCTGGTTTTAGAATTGGCAGGAGAGGGCGAAGCTTTTCGGTTGAAGGGGTTCTCTTTACATATCCGCTAAAAAGAGAAAAGATGCAGTTGGATTTTTAGTATGTGCAAAGTGTATTGATATATAAATTGACTTCTGTTTGGAGGTGGCGCCATTACCTTGTTTTGTGACTGGGTGGCCTCTGAGGCCAGTGGGCTGGGGTTGCTGGGTCGTGGTGGTGGAGGTCGAGGAGCCTTGGTCACTGGGTTGCGATTGGTCTGTGGAGTGGCTGGAGCTGAGCTGGCATTTGCTGGTACTGGAGAAGGGGCGGGGCTTGGAGAAGGCTGACGGAGATGCTCAGTCGAGGAGGAAGAAGGGGAAGGCTTGGAGTCGTTCGGTGAGCAGATGGAAGGCTCGGAGACGCTTTTGGTGAAGTTGTGTTCCTGGTCGCTGCTGCCACCGCCAGCTAAAGGGAGCTGAGAGGAGCTGTAGTCTGAGCCTGAAGACAAACTCTCTGTACTGAGAGCTGGAGAGGGGGAGCAAGAGGAGGACTGAGAATGAGAGAGAACTGAAGAAGAGAAAAGGTTTTGAAAAAATTTAAAAAACAGCAGGCACAGAAGAAATTCAAGAGGAATAAAGTAGTTGGGACAGATTGAAATGTTGGAATAAAGAGGATAAGGGGAAAGAAAACACAACATTATTTTTAGCATCTATTAGCAACACATCTCTTTTCAACTATTTTTAGTCTGTGACTCTTTAGAATAATTTTTTTTATTACTATTTTTATCAGCTGTGTACATAGTTTCCGCTCACCTCTTTTGAAGTGACAACTTGTCTGTTAAATTAGAGGTTGTTTAATTTTACATCAGACAAACTAATCTAGGATTAAAGTGACAAACAACAGCACACACACTTCACACTTCTATACTGCACACATTTTTGAAGATTGGATGCTCAAAGTTGGACAAATGTGCTTTTTATCTATTAAATGGATAAAATGGAAAGTAAAGCACAATATTATAAATCACTGGGTTGTAAACTTGTAAATTTCAGTCTTGATCAATGACGATCAGGCTTTGCAACTGAAAATCAAATATGAATTTACTTTTGTCCTGTTACATGTAACTCCATATACCTGGCAGTTTAACTAGAGACATAAATAGAGAGTGAACAAATAAACTGAGGAAATTCTGTTGCACAATAGTGCTTGCACCCCTTGCAGAGCCAATCAACAACAAACACTTTGTCAGTAGTTGCAAATATCTGCCCGAATACATTACCAGGATGGCTCTGAATGGTGACCCTTATGTTACTATGAAAATCGCGTACCACGCACTGCGTGTTCAGTGTCTCTACTATTGTTCAGCATATTTAGACGCATCTGTCTTTTCCAGACACACTAGTTAGCTCATCACCAATCACTTCCTGAGAGCTGTGTTACAAGTTAGAAGCACATTTCCATGGTGAAATGACCTCATTCACGATGAGTCAAGTACTGATAAATTACAAAAATATGGATAAGTGACGTAAACGTAAGAGTATGCCCCCTGAAAAAGTCAATCCTAGTGCGTAATTTTGGGCACAGCCATGTTTCATAAGGGACTCTGCTTTCATTCAGTTTAACTGCACAGTCATATTGGTGTTTTCATCTATAAACTTCAAAATTCTCAGCTGTTTACACTGAGTTTAGAAACCCACTGAATCAGGTGACACTAAAGAAAATGACCTATGTTTCTTTCTGTAATTTCTTTACAAACATTTGATAAAACATCAAATAGTTAAGTTACTGTTTGATACTTGTAAAGCACAAAGGGGATGCTCTTGGTGTTTGTGGTTCTGATAAAACCGACCTTGGTTACCGGTGGGTGGCCGAGGAGCACGAGGTGCAGGCCGTTTCTTGCTCTTGGTGCTTGCAGGACTGACAGAGCGGGATGAACTTCGTTTATTAGTGGGAGTGTCTGCACCCACTGTGTCTGCTGCCTGAGTGATGCTGTACCATGGGTGACTAGACACCACCGTAGGTGGAGGTGCTCCTCCCTCACTCCCTTCTTCCCCATTTCCCTCGTTATTTTCGTCGTCGTCGTCGTCCTCGAACGGGTTGGAGGACTGGGGGGGCGTGCTGGGTCTGGAGCCCTCCCCTTTGAGAGAGGACAAAGAGCCTGTGTTTGGAGGTGTTGCCAGTCCAGCAGGGGGAGGGGGAGGGGCTGGTGCTTTCTTCTTCTTGGGTTCTGACTGAACCAGTGCGAGCCAAGGTGGGTCTTTGGGTTTATGGGTGCCACTGAACAGTGAAACACAGATAGTGATGGAAGGGAGGGTCACACAGAGGAAGACAACAAAGTACATCCACATGGAAGCATGGAGGGTTAAACAATTACAGCACACACTGCAACAACATGACAAACACTATGGAGGTGTGATTAACGAACGTGAAATGGCATTTAAGATAAATTCAGCTACCTTGCAGGAGACTGTGACCTTCCTCTGGGTTTGGGAGGAAGTGGAAGCTTCTGAGTTTCACCTGTGATATTAGGAAAAGCGTTGAGCATGACTATAAACAAATGATTCTGCTATTTTTTAGAAACTTACTGTGCAAAAACTACTTACCGACTGCAGGACCGTCTGCTGTGCGGGAGAGTCGAGCCCGTGGCACAGGGCGAGGTGGAGGGATGGGATCAGAAACCCGGCGGGGTGCAGGCACTGGCCGACCGGTAACCTCAACATGAGGTGTAGAAGGGAGGTCTCCATTTGCTGTGTGTTTGGCTGGTGTTTGAGTTTCTTCTTCTTCTTTCTCTCCCTCCTCCTCTTCATCGTCGCTCTCATCGAAAGGGTTGGGAGGTGTGGCAGATCGTGGTTTCTCCTCTGCTTCGCTGGTACTGTCTTCATCTGTTTTTTCTAAACCGTCTTTGCTTGTTGTAACGGGAGCGACCGTGACCGAGTCATCGGCTGGAACGTCAGAATCGTTCGTTTCCTGTACTGGAGTCTTTGCCTGGCAGCCATCAGAGGGCGCCATGTGAGGAACTGTGCTGCAACCGGTCCTAGCAGACTGTCCCGACACTGGTCTCTTACTAAGATCGGGCTGGCCATTCTGGTTGGATAAAGCATTCCTATTAAGGTGATGTGCACAGACAAGTGCCCCAGAGTTGCTTTCTAATTTGTAGGATCCATGAAGCAGTGTCCTGTGACACTCAGTGCACCTGAGAAAACAAAGAAACAAAAACAGGAAGTGTGACGAAAAATAAACAGTTGTTTTTTGTGACCTGTTTGCAAAAAGGATTCACGCATTATTAATGTATACCAAACACCACCTACAGTAGATATATGAATTGAAAATGTTCAACAGGTGAAACATAAACATTTCTTTCTCACGATGTCACAGGAAACCGGACACACCTGTTCTGACACGATAGCTAATTTTAGCTGTAGTGTGAAGCCTATGTGCAGCTGCTACAACTCAGGGTAAAATATTAACTGTTGTGTCCACCAAAAATATGTGACCAGCTCTTTGAAAAGCTGAACTTCTTGCATCTTCAATCAGAAAAACAGCACCCATATCATAGTAACTATTACTGAAAGTAATCAAAACAAAAAGATTTATAAACAAATAGCTAAGGGGAATTTACTGATATTAAAAGAAATAAAAAATAAAAAGTAATGCAATGGCAAATACAAATAGTAATAACTCTGTTATAATATGTTATAAATGTGTAATAAGTTGTAATAAATGTTTTCTAATTGACAATTTTTTTTTAAAACAAAAAGATAAAGCATCCAGTTCAAGCATCTTACTCACACACAAATCTGAATCCATCACCCGATAGTGCACAGAATCCTCTGTCACAGCTTGACTCAATAATTCGGGTCTTGTTTTGTCAAGTTTTTAAATTGTTTGGCAGCCATACCCAGAGGGAGGGAGTAAGCCTTGAGGAGAGGAGGTGAGGACGTACAACACGAGAAATGAGTAGAAAGGGAGCGCTCACTTGAAACAGTTGCGATGGTAGAGCTTGCCGTCCACCAAAAATCTCTGCACCAGGTGGACGTGTTTCTGGCAGGCGGCGCAGGTGCTGCTGAGAGTGCTCCGCTTGACTGCCGCAACCGCTTCGGTGCCTGTCTGCACGGACTGGATCGGCAAGTACATGCGACCGGGGACGTTGTTCGCAGGAAGGGGGACAGGGAGGAGACATCAGGGGAAGGGGGAAGATGGAGAGTAATGGGGGAGGGGGGAGATCATATACGGAGTCAGGATTTGAGGATGTGGATTGTTCATTCTGTTTAGCTAGCTACATCTACTTGGTTATCTTATTTTTGGAGTTCAAGTGAAAACATAATTTGATTAAAAGTATGTTAAAAAAAATCAAAAGAATGAAATGATAAAAAGATGTTTATTAGTAAAAAACAATCCAAACAGCTTTGGTTAGTGGCTCTGGGAGTCACACATTTGGGATACAGTTACTCTTTAGGGCTGAGATATTGCATTTTTTTTGTTTTGTTTTTTTCTAGGTGTTAAGTAAATATAGGGGTTAGAAGCAGCATATTTCAAAACTTGGCACACAGTGTTAAGAAACTACAACTGTTAGTCTTTTATCCATAGGAGACTGTTAAGAAAGACTGACCTAACAGTTCTCTTTCACCTCCAAGCCCACCCTCCCACCCCCACCCTACTGCCTAGGCTCAGGACCAGAGAGCGGAGGGGGGGTGAGATGTGAGGACGGAGAACAGGAAGAGGAGGGAGTGGAATGAATTTCCATCTGAAGAAGGGAGGAAGGGCAAGTGGGGGAGTGATGAGGAGAAAAGCAGTACATGGGAGTACGGGATGGAGGAAAGGTGTTGAAGGGCATGCGAAAGAAAAGAGAGACAGGATACAGAGGCTATCTTTATAGACTTATTCTACCGCCATTGTTGGGCTTTTTCCCCTGCTGTGCAACACATAGCTCACATAAGGAAGTTGACATAAAAATCCATATTTGGATATTCTACACTTTTGTAGTAAAAATAGCAGATTTACACGATGTAATAACTCCACATAGTACATGCAAAATGATTGTTAAATCTTTCAAGGCTTCAAATGTCATTTCAGTGGGATTATCCACTCCATAACAGGCCATCATAATCAAAGTATTTTGAGTGATCTACAGCTTGCTACCATGCAAACTCTAGTAGACACCATGTCAAGCTCCTAGACGTTAATTAGGCCTAATATTCCCAAACAGATAAAAGAATAAAACGCTTCTCCTGGTGCCAAGTCTTATATACTTACCTCAGTCTTATCTTCCAGAGGAGTTACAGGCCTTTTCTGGGCTGGCTCATTGAGACCAGCAGTACTGAGCCTCTTCATACAAGGAGGGTTTGCTGTGGTAGAGAAACAAGGGGAAGCCAGTTAATGGCTAATTTCTTGTATACATTATTATCACACCCAAAATGTAAGCTGTTGTGCAGTCCAGTTTCTTCTGAGTTATGATGAAATGAGAAATGAAGTGAGACTTTTCATGAATGGCACCACTAAATTAAAGTGACAAATATACCCAGGTACTGGCCCCAACCCTCTAGGTTCATGTCTCCCTATTGGTAAAGTTGACCAAGTTGCATCTGTGGTTTCCCCCCTCTTTATTTTTCATTTATTCAAGTTATCAAACACTGAATGTGTTTGCTCTTTGTTCACTGGCATAGGCAGCAAAGAAAGTGGATGATGATGATGATGATGATGATGATATGACCCAATCACAGCACTTAAGAGTTGAAGGTGAAGACAAGAGAGACCAAACTGACATCCAATTAAAAAAATATTTACTTTTTCCTTTGATGATTGCTACAGTAGTGCATAAAAACAAAACACTGGAATATTTTTTTTTAAACCAACCCAACATACATTCTAGTTTGTTTTTTCCTTTACTGTCTTTTGTTTTTTAAACCCGTCAGAGTCATAGTCCAGCATCTTTGAGTGCAGCTGGGGATAGTAATCTCTGATATGCTCTGACAAGCTGTTTCATGCTGGAGGGCAACCAAAACCTGCTGCAGATAAAGAACTGGTGTATGTGTCACAACACTGAGCTCACCGAGGCTGCAAATAATAATAATAATAATGGATTGGATTTATATAGCGCTTTTCAAGGCACCCAAAGCGCTTTACAATGCCACTATTCATTCACTCTCACATTCACACACTGGTGGAGGCAAGCTACGGTTGCCACAGCTGCCCTGGGGCAGACTGACAGAAGCGAGGCTGCCATATCGCGCCATCGGCCCCTCTGGCCAACGCCAGTAGGCGGTAGGGTAAAGTGGAACAAGGAGAACAAGGACTACTTTGACAAACTGCAGTTCAAGATCATGGAAAAGGAGTCAATCCAGGGATAAGGAAGATACTGGAGAGACAGCTTTTATATAATCACATTTACCGCAGTTTGCCACAAATGCAAAACATCTCTGCAGGAAACACTCATACCTAAAATATATCACTGAAAAAAAAAGCTTACTGAGTCTGTAATAGCATATACATGAACAAGTAAAAGATTATACATGTGTATGTGACAGAATTCACACAGTTGCACGCACCCTGAGACTTGTTGTTGAAGAAGTTGTAATACTGGGACACGTATGTGATGATGCTAAGCCGGTCAGGCACTTTCATAGACACCATGTCTTCTGGGTCCAACAGGGCTGGAATCCCCAGTTCAGTCTCAGCCACTTCAAACGCCTTTCAATGAGGAAAAGAGGATAAGGGGAAAGGAAGTAGAAAGAGCAGGAAACAAAAAGAGATGTTGGCAATGAGACAGGAACCAGTGAGCTTAGATACAAGGCAAAACTTGAGTAAGAGCGAGGTAAACTGACCTCTTTTTTATTAAAGATAAAAACCTTGATAAGCACAAATTTGGTAACAACTCAGCTTGTCCTGTTGTTGAAACCTAATGTGGTATCTTGGTATGACTTCTATCAGTATTTCATTTCTTTATTATTAGGAGTTGTAGTGGAAACTTGTGGGAGTGTGGTCTCTGTATTATTCAGGAGAATGGAAATGATTAGCGGTTAACCTTTCAATGCTTTAAGCACCTACAAAAAAAAAATCCCCTCACTGCACTGAGCCTGCAGGAGAAATCTTATCTCAAGCCGAAATAAATAAAACCAAAACAAGTGGAAAAGCTTGACTGGATGTGGGTGAGAAAGTATGCAGTGAAAAAAAAAAAACAATCCGCCGTTTGCATGATGTTTACATTCGTTAGCTTCATAGCATAAGTGCCTAAGTCATTTTTTTGTGTTTTGTGTTTCAGACGGACAGGATGATGCAGCAGTGGTAGGGGAGTAAAGTTAGGCAAAAATCTCAATTTGACCAAAAAATGACTTAGGCACTTATGCTATGAAGCTAACGATATATCCTTTAGAAAAACCAGCAGTGAGAAAAAAAAAAATTCCAGTGAAGAAATGATACTGCAAACAGCATTACATAACAACATACCAGCACGGTTCTGAAACAACGAGGCCTACAAATGCTGCACATCACAATTAAAGTGAAACTAAATCTAAAAATCCCCAAACATGTGGTTTCTAAAAACCAGTCTTAACCTCCCCACACCTACTATTAGATAGTTAAATTGAGAAACCTTATGAACACAAGTACACTCTCTCTCACACACACACACTCTCTCTCACACACACACACACACACACACGCACACCATCTTGGCCGGCAGCTGCCTCCAAACACGTCTTGTATCATTAATACTGTGTGCTGCTCAGTAACATTTAATATCTATTTATTATTATCATCATTATCATTATTATTGGTATTGATTTTATTGCAATTATCCACTTCACATGAGTACATGGTGATTCTTTGCAGTGATCCACAGCTAGCAGACTCAGAGTAGTGAGATTTAATGCTGCAGAGGCCTTGAGTCAGATACTATCCAAGTGATGGATCTTTTAACACTTTTCAGCCCAAATCGGATCAGGAAGACTTTTCTCTTGCATTTTACACTTTGCAAGGCCTAGGATTTTTTTATTTTTTGTTATTTTTTTGAGCATGGTGAGCGAGTGAAGTGAAACCAATATAGTTATTTCTGTAGTGGCAACCCAACAACCAAAACAGCTACTTGAGGGAAGCTAAAGTAGTTTCCACCTCGTGCTGAAAAATCTGTGGCTCACCATGACAAATACTTCTAACATTTTATTTTTGGATTTGAATCTAAAAACAGAGACAAAAACTGGGTGCACTGGATGAATGACAAAAATGAGGTGACACAAAAAGTCTGCAGCTTCCTTCTGGCTCGAATTCTCCTCACCCTGTCACCTATGACTTTCCTAAACAGACCACTCTAAAGTCTGTGACCCAAAGTGTCACCCAAGTGACACATCAACCCTGACCAGGCATCATCAAAAACCTGAAAAGATTGTGTAACACCAAAAAAAAAAAAAAAAAAAGGAAAATGTTTGCAACATTGACATTTGCTACCAATGTAATGTAATCCACAGTGATTCTAAAGGTTAACAATAACTTGAAACCTGCACAGTAGGAGCTCCTAGCTTGAGTCTCCATGTGACAGCAGTAACATCTAAACAGTGATTCAGCATTTAGTGAGTCTATCAGCACCTCCTACATGAAAGGGGACTCAAAAGTCATTCCAGGAGACAATCAACCCCAAATACACTCATGAAACTTACAAATTGATCTTACATGGTCAATCAAACATGCTTTCCACATAATATTCACTCCAGACTAGACGTGACAATTACTTTCTTCCTTTATAAGAATTCTTTATAAGCTTTTCACTTCTCCTAACACTGCAGGAATTGAAAAACAAACATTAAAACAACAACAATTAAAACAGCCAAAGCTGAGCTCAGACTGAAAGGAGACTTCCATTTCAACCCTCAATGTTCTCCTGGCTTCAAAGCCATGTGGAAAAAAACAGCCAAGGAAATCAGATTTTTAAAGTTTTAGGCTGTATTTGATGTACTGCTTTACAAAGCTGCAAACTCTGCACTTTTGCACTGAAAAGCTTCACTTCATGGTTTCTCCACAGGCTTATGTCAAGAATTTAGTTTTTTCTGACACAGAGTGCTCTGGCTTCCTCCCTCTGACTCTCTGCCCTTCAGCAGAATTAAGTAAGAGTCTCTCTTCACATCACGCACACACTCCACTTACACCCATAACATCTATGAGGAGTCAAACACATAATATGTTTCTGGCTACACATAAGCTAGGGATTTCCAAATGACTCAGGTTTCAAAATGACATCATTCAACACAGAACAACGTGTGCACAAAACATATAGTTGTAAACGTGACTCACCAGGCGGTTGTTCTCATAGACATTCTCCTTAGTCAGTGAGCCAAAATCTCTGCAATGACAGAAAAAGGTTACAACAACATTTAGGATAAGGCTGAAGATAAGGCAGCCAGCATAGTTCTATAGCAGCCCTGTTTCTACATACAACTTGCTCAACTATTTGCACTCATATTATAGACTATAAGCTATAATCTAAATAGATTATAAGCTATTATTTGCCTGACAGCATAACAAACTGCAGTGGTGAGCGGTTACAGCTCCCACCTACCACTGCTGACAATCTCAAAAACCGGCCTTAAATGATGCCTGATGCCAGAGCAAAAAGAAAGAAGCAGCAGGAGCGATGGGCCGATAATTACAAGGCTCTGCTCTAAAATGCCCAGAGCAGGGATCTAAAGCCAGTTTCTCACCAGTAAACATCCTGCAGTAAAACTGGAAAAAATGTCTGAGGAGCTGTGGGATGAATGTGCATAAGTAAATGTGTGCAGTGGTCTTAGACACAACAGTATGGCAGGGGGAAAAAATAAGAAAAACCCACCATGAACCTAATGAGTGCTTGTGGAAACCATGTGGAACTTTCAAGAAGGCAAAATCCTGTGAATGAGCTCCGTGTTGGAGCCACACAAAGTGACCTCTGTTCTCTCTAATCTAATTCCCGTGGCCACAAACGCACCGAGCAGCAACTTTAATATCAGGGCTGTGTCAGCCCGAGTCCCCCGTGTCAGCATAACAGACATTGCCAAAATAAAAAGTGCAGTAACTCAAAAATAACAAAGATTTTACATTTTCATACCTCACAGAAAAAAGGAAAAAAAAAAAAAAAAAAAAAAAAAAAAAGAACTGACTGGGACGGTGAAATATTGTGTGTGATCAGCATGCACATCTAATCCACAATGACTCAGAGTCTCACTCCAAGGTTTATTTTAGGTGAGAGAGTGAGAGAGAGGCGGTAATGACAATCCACATGATCAAAACCTGGCTTGAACCAGTACATCCGCTAAATCTGGTTTAGTCAGTTGGAAAAGCTTTGCAGAATAAGATTGTCTGATGTTATGACAGTGAATAATTAAGCACTAATCAAGGAGCAGGTGAGACATCAAATGAGTTAGAGATTTTAAAAATATAAAACAAAAGCAGCAATAAATTAACAGAATTTTATTTAAATACAAGTTTTAAAAAGACACTTTATGTGCACTTCCATTAACTTTGCCATGAATGACTTCTGGGGCTCCACATCTACTCCATCTCCACTGGTCTGACTGACAGGAGTCGTCATCCAAAGGACGATAAGGCCATCCAAGTCTCATCTGCATCAGTGTGCCATTTTTCAATGAAGCTTCAGTGGCTGCAGAGTAAAGGGCAGCACTTCTACTACAAATGACCTGCACATGCATTAGAGCTAAATCCAGTTCGACAGGCAGAGGTCTCAGCCGCAGATTAGTCTGACGGGCTGTCTGTCTGGATCAGAGGGAGTTCAGCTGGGCCGCTGCAGCTAGAAAGAAAGCTGAACAGCGAGGCATGCTGGGACACAAATTAAAGAGGCAAAGCTTGAAAGCTCCCAGTTTGCAGAGTTTAGGATTTGTCTAATTCCTGTACTTTCAGCATTACTGCTGTGCTGTTTATGCAGATAAAGTCCACTTCACTGTTTAAGTGAAAGTTTGCTCTGCTTCCATTCAGTCCAGTTTGCTCACCTGAGAGATGAACAGCACGAGCCACATGCTTACTGTCCAAAATCATTTATCAGACCACATTTTGCCTGTTTTCTTCAAAGGACACTGGGATGACACGTGGTTAACGGTACATTTTACTGCAGTCTGTGGGAAAATTCTAGCCCTTCATAACAATCTGTTCAGAACAACGAAGCATCCATAGTTCATTTTTTCCCCTGATGTTATAAATCAAGTTCCCTCTTTTCCTGTACATTGGTGTGCCTTTGCCCTACCTCAGGAATTCAAATTCAAGGCTTTCATAGGTGAATCTATGGAAGAACCTGCCTTTGTCTCTGGCTCACTCAGGAACTCTTATGGCGTATGACCATTTCCAGTAACCTGTGACAGTTAGCTCTCAGCTTTCTGATGCTCACAGGTCTCTTGAAGCATGAAAGTCCTTTTTATCACCCCTGTCTGCAGGTAGGGCACTGATGACCACTGTGGACTGGCAGTTGCCCTTGAAAGACGGGCTTTATGGTCAGAAATGTCAAACTGGGCAAAGGGTTTATCATCTCTATGATTCGCTTCTTTTGTAAAAACGCTTGCTAATCGCTCATCTGTGGGGCTTCTGCTTTTTTTTGTAGCACCTTCAGTGGTTATACAGCATACCACCAGTGTTGGTAGGTTACCATCCTGACTGATTTTGTGTTTGTCAGACACCAGTGAAGACTTTTCTTATTTTTTAAGCCAATTTTCCCAAAGAATAAACTCAATAAAATTTAATTGAAGACAGAGTGCTTCTGTGGTTTAATACAGTCATACTCGCATCACATGCCTAGCAAGTTTTCCTGGGTTTTGTTTTTAATAACTTATAGTTGCCACAAAATCTCCAAGAAATCTGGACTTTTCTCAAGGCACACCATTGTATTGTGTGAATTCTGATTGAAGAGAAAAAAATAAACACATTCACATTTAGTGTACAGCAGCATACGTTAAACAAAAACAGGATAGCTTGTGTGCACTGTAAAGTTTCAGGCTGTCATTTGTACAGGTGGCTAAAGGTGGCTCACTGTCACTCAAGTGAAAAACAAAATTACTGTTTTGAATCTCTACTAAAAAGATGGCGAGTCATCATGTCCTCCTCCCTATACCCAACCCTTGTAAATCACATATACACGCTGTGGTGTTTTGTGGTAACCTCTGTACTCAGTGTGTAGGTGTGAAACACAGAAGGGAAGTGTTGTTACAGGCAGAGCGTCGCTAGTCAGGATGACTTTGACACGCCACATTGGACACTCGCTCACATCGCAGAACTCACAACATTACAGGAGGCTTTTTTTCTTTAAGTGGCTGTGACAAAATATAATTAAAACATAGAGTTGAAAAATGAACAGTGTCTTCCAAGATAACACTGCCATACTTAGGTATGTTAGTATGGTGCTTTTAGATTTTTACTTAAATACAATGAAAACATCTAATTTCACTGCAGTTAAAGCATTAATAACTGGATTTTTGTCTTTAACCTACAACACTACTCCTACTGTAGCAATGCCATCATTACTACATGGGAGCAGTAAATGTGAAAATGTATGGAAAGTTAAAAAGTACAAGTTGTTTGAATCATAAAGGCAAAAAATATTATTCTAGTTTAGTCACAAAACCTTGACATGTGGTTTTGCATATGACTTTCTGCTGTGAGTTGAACTGGAACATTTTCTGTTGGAGAAGTGGGATGCATGACCGTACTCTAGTGAACCACATTATGTATGCATAGGATCTTGTGGTATTTAGTTCTAGCAGTGCTGGTCTACAGGGGCACTTTACCACATGTCCTGTTTATGGTACAAAACAGGACACCACACAAAGTGTCTGTAAGAATGCGGTCATGATTTACATGATTTACAGAAGCAAAGAAGACAAATATCTAAGATTTCCTGATTTCAAACAGTCTCATAACAATCGTACAGATTCCATTAAAGTAAAAATATCCTGGGCATTCTATTACAGATGAAATGACAGATGATGGAGATAATTATAGAAAATGATGTATGGTGTATGCACAAGCACACGCCCTCTTTTGCAAGTATGGATAGAGTGAACATGTCTCATACTGTACTCGTCTCTGTAACAAAAAAAGTTACACAGACTTCAAGTAGCTTATAATGATACTGTGGGATTACACATGTTCCTTAAGCAATCACAGATCACTAATTACATGACAGAAAAAATGGTTGGCTGGCTTATTTTAAAATGAATGGGGTAAGGATTGTTTTTCCCACTTGGGTTCGTGGTTTCGTCTCCATTTTTAATAGTTTTGAATATGGTCCAGTGTAGTTATTAAGATGATAAAACTTAAGTTATATGTTATTACGTAATGGTTTTACTTGAGATCAAACTGGGCTGTACGTGTATATGGCCTTTGAGTTTAAGGAGTCTGACAGCTCTTCTTTAGAGCACAGATGAGTTCAGATGGCTCTGTCCTGACAGGTTTTGTTCTACATTGGTGTTTTGAATGGATGAGTTACCCTTAGTAATTCTGAACCTCAATTCAGTCACAAAAGAAAACAGTTAGCAGCCTGTCACGCCTCAAAAACCAGTATACCTTTCAACGGAGGCAGCTCCTACACAAAAAAGAACCAGTGTACCACAGATTAACCTTACCGTTAACTTAACCTGCTTCTAACTTCATTTTACAGTAGCGTTTATGTTACACTTGTGGTTACTTACATCAGATCTGGTCTGAAGCGATGAATAATGGCACAAAACGCCAGCCCGTCTCGAAAGGACGTAGACATGTCCTTAATTTGCACATCGTTGTAGTTCTCACACTGTATCCGACACCACTCCTGGAGAGCCTTCAGAGATCCCATCATACTACAGACAAATCCGACGGGGAAGGTGGTGAACTTGGATTGATCGACCTTTATTTGTTGACGGGACAGAGAAAGCGACGACGGCCAGGCAACACCCGAGCTGCCGATACGTTACCTTCATGAGCAGCCACTGAGTCACATTGGAAAAAAACGAGCATGTCTTAGGAGCTAGCTGGACGATGCCCAACTTTACCAACTGCAGCAAGCACCGTGTGAAGTTCACCTCCCGTGTGCGGTTATTCAGACTGCGGTTACTGCGGAATGAGTGAAAAAACACGGCTGATTTCCCGAGATGATAACGGGAGCTCGCCCTCAAAAGTTCTTGACGTAGCCGAGTTAGCTAACTGGCTGCAGTGGCTTGCTGTTTGACCCCACTTTGCAGGTTTGCTGTATATGTGTAAACTGTTGTTTCACGCAGTGATGCAGTTTCAGTCGAAGCAGGTGCAGAATTTCCTCTGTGAAGGACCGCAAGACCCGCACTAGGCTTTTGTTTGTAAGTGCAGTGACTACAACGGCTAAAAGACTGGTTTAAAAAAAGTCTCTTTAGTCCGTTGCCCGCGACGCCATCATTTATGTACCAATACAATTAAAAGTAACCTATGAAAAAATAAAAATCCCGCACAGGAAGTGCAACTCCAGCCGAACAGCGCTGATTAAAACACTGACAGCCTCGCCAAGCTGCCAACCTACAATATCCCGTTTCTCTCCCTGCTCTTATCGCCCAACAGGGGGTGCTACACCCATTCAGGGGCTGCTGTCTTCTTCTTGTATTGGAGTCGACGGAGACATGCATCATCCCCGCATTGCTGCCCTCCTCAGGTAACTTGTATAATACAGGGTTGCTGCCTCCTACAGTGGGGGAAATAGCTATTTGAGCCCCTAAATTTGTTGTAAGCTTTCTTATTTACAAAGAAATGAACAGTGTCTATATTCTATTGTAGTTTAATTTCAATGGAAAATTACAGAACATCAACCAAAAATCCAGAAAACACATTTAATCAATGTAATGAATTGAGTGAGTTAGGGATTTGAAACTCCACAGTCCTGCCAGAATTCTGGCTCAAACAGATCAGCTGTGTCCAGTCAACTGGAGATAAACATCTGTCCACGTGGGTCATAATAGAGCACCAAGGCAACAAAAGGATGGTTAAAGAAGAAGCATACTGAGGTGATGGAGTGGCCTAGCCAGTCTGCAGACTACAGTGTTATGGAAAATTTGTAGAAGGAGCTGAAGCTTCAAGTTGCCAATTGAAAGCCAAGAAACCTAAAGGATTTTAAGACAGTCTGTAAATAGGAGTGTGCCAAAATCACTCCTGAGATTTGTGCAAACCTGGTGACTAACTTTAAGAAACGTCTTACTGCTGTGCACCCCAACAAGGGTTTCTCCACCAAATATAAAATCATCTTTTGATCAAATACTTATTTCACTCAATGACATGCAAATCAATTTATAACGTTTTTGTAATGAGGGGTTTGTTGTTGTTGTTTTTTTGGTTGATATTCCATTTCCCATATACAAGCTTATTTTGCCATTCAAAGCTTTTAAGGTTAAACCAAGAATTTGACTTCGAAATTTGAAAGCTAAAGCCTGGATTATATTCGGTTGCAGACACGGCCAGCTGGAGACCCAATGACCAAGTAGTGATCCCAAGTCAATACCAGACACTGACTTGCATAGATGGATCTTCTCTAAAATCACTGGGATATGTGTCAGTCTCCATCAGCCATTGAGCCCCAATGTACTCAGTAGTTACATCTGTTACTGCCGATGCACTAAATTTGAGCTTTATTGTTACTGAAATGTGGGTACGAATGTAGCATTTTTAAAATATTTCATTAATATTTCACTGATTTTGACTTAATTTTACTTATAGTTGTCAAAGCTTATTAGTATACAGTTCATTTGTGGGGCCGTGTTGACCTCTTTGTACAGGACTAATCCCCCCAGCCCCGTCATTAACACAGACTCTGGTAGAATTTCATCAGAAACGAAGAAAGTATTCATGCATATCAACACTTTATAATGCTACCAGTAATATACCTAAGAGAACCTGTGTAGGGAAAAGAATATGAAAATATGAAATTGTTATCACAGTCAATTAGATAAATGGATTTGTGTTTGGCACATGTTTTTTCACCACCAGAATCAGAAAACTTTATTAATCGCCAATAATAAAATTAGTTGTTAATGATCTGAGTTCAGCTGAACTGTAGTATCTTTCCCACCGCTGTTTGATGAGATCTTCTCAAAGCCCTTGAAATGTTTCGCTATTCGCGCGATATGTTACAAAAGTCTCGCGATAGCTTGCTTCTTGTTTAGAATTCCCGAAAGATGGCGGCGGCGGCGCCTCCAGATGAGGCCAGTCTGCAGTCTCGCATCAGTAAGTTAGCAATTTATTACAATACTCGATTAGGTTTTGAACGTGGATAGATAACCGAAATGCCCCTGAGGAACATCGACATATTTAGTCATTGTGAATTTTTCGCTGACGCTTATAGCTTCCTCCCCCGGGAGCAGAGAGGAGTCAGCGAAAGCCATTAAATTAAAAAGTGCAGCTGGCGATGAGGAACAAACTCCAACAGTTATATACGGTTGCATAGTTGCTTCATTATGAGTTTAAAGGTAGTTTACTGTTGTCCGCTTTAGCTCAGTGATACTACAGAAAGGTGACATTTAAATTTAAAGGTGTCAGTAACGCTCAGCTAAAGGCTAAAAATCAAGCAACTAGTTAGCTTCTGGTTGTTTCCTTGAGGACCAAGTTTAGCAGGAAACCTGTCACACCTGGGCTATAATCTGACACACGTCTCCAAAAGCGAGCCACCCTCTTCATCTGCTCCAAGCAAGAGAGCTCATTTACATATTGCACACGCTCACAGGCCACAGCTGCTGCACAGAGTCAGGTGTAAAGCGACAGGTTTGACTGCCTTCACAGATCTACAAATAACAATCCGATTTAAAGTGGTTCTGTCCCAGTTTTCAGGTCTGAAATTCAAAAACACGCCAAGCATTTAAAGCAAGTTGAGGATATGTTTGTTTGTTTTCAATTTTACACAGATAAGGCCACCAATCCTCTGAATAAGGAAATTGACTGGGACTCAATAAAGGGATTCTGTGATCAGCTCGAAAATGAACCGGAAGGGTGAGTCGATGATGATTCATTTGTTTCACAATTTCACACTGAAATGGAGACTAACGTGGTGTACCAGCGGTTGACATGATCATCCTGACAACTTGTGTCCCTTTGCTTTCAGTTTTTTAGAGTAGTATTGATTTAAAGGATTGTAATGCATTTTTTAACAGTTTGCTTGTATGTGACATTTTTAATTAATTTTAGGGATGCAGGGATTTAATGGTGAAATGTCTATATTGGCTTTAAATAATTTTACTTGGAGCACTTCGGAAGTCTTGAGCCACCCCTAATTTCTTTATATTTGGCAGGAAAATGGGAAGCGGGTGTAGGGAGTTATTAAAATATGCAGAAATAAATGGAAATGCAATATACAAGAGAAAAAAAAAAACAAAGTTCATAGAATTCCAACGTGGTTGAAAGTGACCACCTTTATTCTTCTATACAGGCTTGATGACTAAAGAAGAGAGATACTGTTGCTCTTCTTTAGTTATCAGGAACAGCTCTCCATGCTTTTTGAAGAACATTCAATGCCTCTTCTTTGGATGTTCCCTGTAAAGATAATCCCACGTTGCATCAATAATGTTGAGGTCTGGCATCTGGGCAGACTATTCCATGATAGTTTTCCATAGTATGTGTGTTTTTTGGGTTTGTTTTTTCTCTTTTTATCCAGGAAGGCTTTTACTGCATTAGCAGTGTGTTGGGATTATTGGCATACTGTCGATCAGATGCTTTCTAAATTGTACTGTGTGTTGGATAAAAATCTGGCAATAGTTTTCTCTGTTCATAATTACAAGATCTATAAATGCAGCCCCAAACCATGACAAAGCCTCCACTGCGTATTATAGATCCCTGTAAACACTCACTGTTGTACCGCTGTCCTGACCTTCTATGTATTGATTTGAACCAAAACCTTTACATTTGGATTCATTGCTCTCTGTTGTCACAGGCTTTTCAGTCCAGTTCTTGTGTGATTTGGCATACCTCAGCCTTTTCTACTTGTTTCCTTTCCTTAAGAATGGCTTATTCCCTGAGTCGGGTGCCTTTTTAATGCATGAATTCACAAGTCAGTATAAAGTGACAAAAAACATCCCTGAAAATGTTCAGGTATGAGGACTGAACTGAAAATGAATGAAAAAGCAGCTGAATGTCCAAAGAAAGACCTTTAGAAAGCCTGAAGAAGAAGATCAATTTTAAAAAAAAATTACACTGAAATTTTCCTCCTTGGAAGAAAAATGTAAAGACACAAGGTGGCTCAAGAGATTTCCACAGTACTGTAAATTTGCTGATGCCAGTGGCAGATGTTGGTTCAAAAAATTGGTAGTGTTTAAAACCAGAATTTTATAATTAGTATATCACTAAAAATTTAAATTAAGGTGTTGTACAACCTCCTAAGTCTGTCACTGTAGTGAAACCTTTTTGTTTGTTTTCTCAGGCCTCAGCTTGCAACCAGACTTCTGGCACATAAAATTCAGTCTCCTCAGGAGTGGGAGGCGATGCAAGCGCTAACGGTAAGATCGTCCTGCACACAGCATCAACAAGTGCAAAGGTCTGTAGGATGTCATGTTAAACTCTGCATGTCTGTGCAAATGTAAAACCAACAACCTTTGAACACAGGTTCTTGAGACGTGCATGAAGAACTGTGGAAAGCGATTTCATAGTGAAGTGGGGAAGTTTCGCTTTCTCAATGAGCTAATCAAAGTGGTTTCACCAAAGGTAACGACTGTTGTTCTATGTTTTGCCTCACCAGTTTGGCTGTAACCAAAGATCCATGAGAAGGTTGTTATAGTTTAGTATAACTACTGAAAAATACATCTATTTGATGAATCTCACAAAAGATGGAGCTGTATTTAGTTTAGTTTGTTTGAAAACACAGCCTGGATAAGGTTTTAATGTTAAATCTTGTACCAAATAATTACTTTCTTCTGACCCAATTTCATTTTCATTTGTGAAAGAATAAGTCTGTTTTTCTTTAGCAGTAGTTAATATCCATTCCCCCTCTCTCTGTAGTATTTAGGAGCCCGAGCTCCAGAGGCAGTGAAGAAGAAGGTCTTAGAGATGATTTACAGCTGGACGGTGAGACTCCCAGATGAGACCAAGATATTGGAAGCATATCAGATGCTGAAAAAACAGGGTGAGCTCTCCTGATGTTTTAGAGTTTTATGTGTAACCATCAAGACAAATGACTTCTACAAAGTTTAAAATAATGAACTTATGTGAAAGCTCAGATTCAACCGTATTTTTCTTGTCTTGATGCTGTATGATGTTGGTGACACAGATGTCTTTAATAATGGTTGTCACAGCAGCCCTTCCTGTCTGCTGTTCAGGCCTTTTGTTTGTGAGAGGCAGCCAGTCAGGAAAAAGGTGCAGTGTGTCTCAAACTGCAGATTGCAAAGAGTAAAATTAGGCTGAATTAAAGATCCTTTTCTTGAGAACAAATAAGTGTTTTCTTATGATTCTGACTTTTATTTGACTTTAATTCTAGTTTTAATCATGTTAAAAAAATGTGGCTTGTGGATCGTTGGATTCTTTTGGTTTCTGACGTGTGGAATACCAGAAAAAGTTTGAAGGGAAGGTGGGCCTAAAGGTAGAGGACATAGGGCTG